AGCAGAGGAAGAGGCTCTTCTGAAGGAGACTGAGAGCGGGGTGCGAGAAGAAGGAGGAGGCAGGGCAGGTGGTGTCTCTGGAGGGGACGAGAGTCGGGGTAGCGAGTGTCGGTGCTGTCAGTGCCCGGGCACCAGGCTGAGCACCATCCCTGGACAGGTCCCCTGCTCCTCACGGTCATCCCTGAGGCAGGGACCCATGGCACAACGGATGTGCACTGGAGGGAGCGGAGGATCAGAGAGATGGAGATCCCAGGCCATGCAGGACGCGCTGGGTGTGCCCCAGCAGCCCGACTCCAGGACTGGTGCACCGCCCCAGGGCGTCATAACTGCCTCCCCAGGAGAGTGGGATGATGGGCTGCTCAGGGGGGCCCTGCTGGAGTGATCCCGTCAGACGAGGCTGGAACGTCTCCGGGGGAGGCTGCGTGAAGTCGGGTCCCTGTGACCGGGAGCGCCTCGTTTTCTGCTCCGGGTGGGGAGAAGGTAGCTCCGACCCCGCAGAGCCACGTGGAGCTTTAAACTCGATTCTCCGTGGTCGCACCGCCTGAGTGCCCAGCGGTAGAAGGCATATGTGTGTTAGTGGATGACTTGCCCCTGACGGCCTCGGGGTCCTGTTGGCTCAGGGCAGGGCAGGGCCGGCCACTGCTGGGGGTGAGCAGTGATGGGAGAAGGGCTTGAGGAGGGGTCGGGAAGAGAACCCCCCCCCCCCGCCACGGGGTCTTGTGAGGTGACAGGAAGTCCCAGGGCCGAGGGTGGATGTTCAGGGGCCCAAGGAGGAGCCACGCAAGTGAGGCAGGCAGTGCCTCATGGGTGATGGGGCGGGAGGGAGCCCTGCAGTGTCTCATGAGTGCATGGGAGAGGGCTGACGGCTGGGGCCCCCTCCGCCCGCTAGGCCCAGGCCCTCCTGTGTCCCATCAGGTGATCTCTGGGCCGCACCCAGTGCACGCTGTCCTGGCTCTGACTCGGACGAACACCAGTCACCAGATCCACACCCTCCTACGGGTCCCGCCACGGCGCGGATGCAGTGACCCAGTGTGCATAGGGAAGGAGTGAATGTTCTCCGCTCCCTGGTCGAGGTCAGTGCAGTTTCGGGGCACGCTGGGGGCGTCAGGCCCACGGGCTGTGGCTGACAGGGCTGGTGGTGACTGTGGTCCCCGCAGGGCACGTCCTGTTCCCGTAGCCACACTGAGAGGAAGAGCAGAGAGCTCGAGGAGATGAAGTTTGCCTGCCTCTCCTTCCGGCAGCCCTATGCCGGCTTGGTCCTGAACCGAGTCAAGACCCTGGAGACGCGCTGGCGTCCCCTGCTGAGCGGCCACTGCAACCGGACCCTGGCCGTGCACATCGCCCACAGGGACTGGGAAGACAACGCCTGGCGGGAGTTGCTGCTGGACAGGCTGGGGATGACACCAGCCCAGGTCCAGGCCCTGATCCGGGACGGGGAGCGATTCGGCCGAGGGGTGATTGCAGGCGAGTGACACCAGGCACAGCTGGTGGAGGGAGGATCCACCTTCTCTTTACTGCTGAGCCGGGTTCTGAGGGGCTGTGAGCAGCTACCTTCAGAGGGCGGGGGCAGGCGGGGGGCCCTGGGCGGGAGCTGGAGCCCAGTCCTCGACAGTCGATGCCCACTCGGGGCCGTAGCCCCCCAAGGTGATCTGAGAGGCCAGCCGAGGCAGGTCCATTTTCGCACGTGTTGTCGTTTGTGTGCACGTGTGTGCGTGTGCCTGGAGGAGACCATCAGAGGCACTGCAGCTCTTAGGGCAGGTCGGGGCCTCCAGAGTCAGCCTGCCAGCCTGGGGTCCCGGGCCCACCCCATCCCCAGCTAGCGGCGTCCTGGGCAAGTCGCCTCACCTCTCGGGTGGAGGCCAACGGCACCGTCAGCACCTGGTACCTGGTGGCCTGCGGCGGCATCGTCTTCCCTGTGAGTCCCCAGTGGCCGGGTCCCCTGCCGACTGCCACCCTGAGAGTCTGGGCAGGCCCCACAGGGTCCTCGTGGGATCCCTGAGGAGCAGGCCCTCCTCCTCCTGCCTTGGAGCCCTCCCTCGGCCTTCCCTGGCATGCCCTGAGCAGAGTCTGGCACGTCGGGATGCTCCATAAGGGGGGGACTCGGGTCACTGGTGTCCTTGTGGTGCTGTCAGCTTAGTCCGCAGGAGTTGTCACTTTGAATGACCGTGTCGCAGGTGCAGGCTCCGGCACGGAAGGCAGAAACAGGCGTGTGTCTCCTGTGCGTGCAGGGCTCGTCGACCTGGGGGAAACTGTGCAGTGCCCCAACGACCTAGCTCCGGAGGAAGCTGTGCAGCTGGAGACCCGAGCCCTGCTCCCCGACCTGAAGCACAAGTACCTGACGGCGCTCTCTAACCCGCGCTGGCTGCTGGAGCCCATACCTGGGAAAGGCGGCAAGGATGTCTTCCAGGTGGACATCCCAGAGCACCTGATCCCCTCAGGGCAGGAGGCATGACGAGGCAGGCTGCCTGTGAGGGACGGGACCAAGAAGCAAGCCAGACGCCTTCACCGCTGTGACTGGGATCCGTGAACCACGTGACATCCATGAGCCAAGTGACATCTGTGAACCACGTGGCATCCGTGAACCACATGACGTCTGTGAACCATGTGGCATCCATGAACCACGTGACATCCGTGAAGTCACCTCTGCTTGGGAGAGCACGCCCCATGCTGTGCTTTCATGTGACCAACTGACCCGCTCAGTAGGCGGTGGGGAGGGTGGGGCTGTCCTGGGGATATGTCTCTTTGGGCTCCTGGACAGCGTCTCAAGGAGACATTGTCCTGTACCAGGAAATGAACGTCTGGGCAGGGCCACTATCTGGGTATGCTAATACCTGCATCGGGCAAACAAATACACGGAGGTGCCTGTTTAGCATCTGGGGCTCCCTTGTACCCCTCCTGTCTCTTCCATCTGGTCAAACTCATAGATTGTGAGGCAGCATCCCGGGGGCCTCGCAAAAGCCTGAGGCCGGGCCTGAATGTCCCCCGTGCCTGAGCAGCCATGTTGACCTCCTCCCCAGTGAAGAGAACATCTGCACTGACACAGCAGCCACCCCCTCTCCAGTTCCTCGTGCGGGGTCGTAAAGTGGGTTTCCTTCGTGAAGCGCACGTGTCGCACACGTTTGCACGGCTCCTTCACGTCCCCAGAGACCACCCCAGACAGCTCTCCTGGAGCTTGCCTTTGCCCGGCGATAAGTCCGTAGGGGGATTTTTCTATCATTTACCAGCAAACCTTCTACTGGTCGTTGTCTATGAGGATGAGGGGCTGTTTGCCCCTGACCTTGCCTGGGACAGCCCAGCTCTCCTGAGCCAAACTGCAGTGCTAGCGTAACCCTTGGCAGATGGGTGGCCCTGCTTTTAGGGCGTCCTCTGGGGAGCTAGGGACACTCAGCTACAGGCCAGAAATTCCCCAGCCACATCAGGGGGACCCGTGACCCCAAGACCCTCGTTTCCAGGACATGAGTCATGTCAGCTGACACCCCCGTGAGGCCGCAGCAGGGCTGCAGGGAGCAGATCTTCCAGGCTGGCCCTCCCCCCTTCCTCGCAGAGCCCTGGGCTGAGTGTCTGAAGAGGCCACTGCTGCGGAAAGCAGAGGGACAGCAGCGGGCTCCGGAGCCCAGCTCCAGGTGACTTTCTGCCTCTGGCTCGTGCCGATGAGACGCGTTTAGTGTGGAGGGCTAGAGACAACGCAGACTCGCGCTGCTTCTTGCATGTTTTATTTACCCTGTGAGTTTGTTTCTTTATGAAAGGCCAAGATAGGTTCATCCTGAGAAGACAGCTCTCATCACCAGGGGCTGGGGGGCTGGGGGGCTCGGGGGCTGGGCGGCTGGGCGCCTAGGGCGCCTGCTCGTCCTCGAACTGCCGCTGGAACCGCTCGCAGATGGAGCAGTGGTACTCAGAGGGGCTGTCCTCTTCCGAATCGGGGGACTCGTCGGGAGCCATGGCCGACAGCGTCCTCAGCAGGGCGGAGTAGCAGGTGTCATATAGGGTCATGACGGAGCGGTAATCCGGGCTGACCGCGGGCCCGGTGGGCGGCTCCCCCGCCCCCGCCCCCGCCATCCCAGCGCTGGCCGGGGGGTGGAACTGAACATCCGGGGAGGTGCCCTCCCTGCTGGGCACGCTGGGCTGGGTGGGGGGAGGCTGCTCCAGGGCAGCCCCAGACACACTGCTCAGGGACCAGACACTAGAGAATGGGAGGGACTGGGTGGCCCCGGGCCCCGGGGGGACATGGACGGGGTTCACCGGGGGCATCTTGTTGGCTGCCTTCATGGCGTTCTTCTGCTGGATTCTAAGGGAGCGTCTAGTCGCTTCCTGCTGCTTCCCCTTGGCACGCCGCCTGGCCGTGGTGGCTGGTGGGGCGCTGCACTTGACCTGGCCTCTTCGCTGGATGTTTTTGAGGAGCGGAGGGTGGTCCCTCTTAAAGTTGCAGTTGCGGTAGACCTGAAACACAAGGGTCATGTCAGACATCCTGGGATCCCAGGGTCACCCCACCCACTCCCGAAATCCTGGTCTCCTTTTGGTCTGCAGAAAATGTTTTTCCCAAAATGGCTGGCTGGTGTCCCTGTGCCCTAAATCCTGAGCTCACTAAAGGGAAATGTGTTCGCAGATGGACGCATTACTGTGCCACCCGACAGGACCCGGCCTCTTGGAGCTGGTGGTCACACTGCAGGGCGCCTCGAAGGGAGCTGCAGTTTAATGTCAACACCTACAGGTTCAAAGCCTACACTCTGCACTCTGGGTAAATAATGTCTCCTGGGAAAAACACTCTTCCCGGAACGTCAACCCTTTCAGTCTGTCATTCATCCCGACAGACCACAAAGATAATCGAGTAACAGGACGTGGGGACACAAGTGCTTCTACTTTACCGTGACTTCCTTCTTCCCCAGAGAGCCCTTGGGGTGGACTTTGGCGAAGCCGTGGAGGTTAAGTTGCCGAGTGAAACTCCTTAAGGTGTCTGTTTCAAAAATTCTCTCTGCGCCTCTGCGGTGAAGGACTTCCCTCTGGAAGAGGTCTTTCTCGATGATCATGAAGTCGCCGTTGTCGCTCCAGCGCACGGACTTGAACGCGTCGTCCTCCACGATCATCCACAGCTTTCTCGGGAAGGAGAGCTGCAGAGCGGCATTGTCTTCTTCCCCGCCAGCTGCACCCGGGTTTGGGCCCTCTGCTTCCAGCTTGTCTGGGGCGCCCCGGTCTCGGCTCACATCTTGGCCTCCGTACTCGTCCAGAATCTCCCTAGCAGCCATCTTTGGATCAGGGACAGGAGTCAATGGGACCCCTCCTTCTGGCTTGTCAGCAACAGACAGGGCCACGTTGATTTTGTGTGTCTCTCTGGTACCGGGAGTAGCCAGGAGGCTAGGCTAGCATCAGGAGCACTTTGTAGCAAGACTGTACCACTGTCGTGTCCAGTCACAAATGCCTTCGGTCAGAGCGGGGATGGCCAATAAATACTGCCCACAGCATTCTAGAGTCTCGGTAGGGAGGTAACCAGCTGCTGAGGTCATCGCCCCCTTTGTCCCGAGATGTCACCAAGGAGACTCATGGGCCCTCTGGGAGAGGGAGCCCTGGCCGAGTAGGGGAGGGGCCGGGTGGCAGGGACCCATTTTCCCTTTTCTAAAAGTGCAGAAAGACCGGGTTCAAGTTCCCAGAAAAGCCTCCCACCTGCTGACAGGCACATTGTTAGCAGCACCTGCATTTGACCACCCCATCCGCATCGCCTGCCCCAAACACTTCCTCTCAGTGGCCACCTTGGCGCCGCCTCTGAGGCCGCGGCTCCTTCCTTCAGTGGGTGCCGTGGCTGTGCTCTCCGCCCACATTTCTCGCCTCGCACGTGCACTCCGGGCCTCCTTGGGTACTTCCTCTTTCAGTGACTTGATCTGAGGGTTCAGTGTACGCTGCAGCACCGCGCCAGCCCCGTTCTCCCTGCCCCGGGAGCACGCCCACCCCTCCGCAAGTCCTTCTCCACCATTTCCACGATGCTGGAGAGGGGCGGGGGCACGTGGAATGACCTTGTTTGCTTTGTGTCAGATGCTTTTCGCAAGGTCTACTGTACGCAAACTCACGCCCACGGACATGTCTACCTGCTTAGCTAGACTGGACTAGAGGAAACCAACGTGAAAATCCCCACTAATGTGTATTTCAGCATAGGGGAGACTCAGGGCGAGAATGCGGGGACAAAACCCAAACGCAAATCCTCATGGGCCCCAGGTGACATGATGCCACAGTGTGTTTGGTGACCCAGGTTCTCTGTCCTCTGTGGACAGTTTGTTCTCAATAGTCGCCCTTTAGGGAGAGATGTGGCAGAGAGGCCCCGGGGTGAAGGGGCTCTGGGTCCTGTCCCAGCTCTGCACTAAGAGTATCATTCACTCTCACTTAGTTTCTAAAACGGGGTACCAGGAGGGTTTGGAGAGAGAATCTCCCAAGGTGCATTTCAGCACCGAGGCCTCTCAGCCGTCACCAAGCCTCCGCTGCATGGCCCAGGATGGCCCGCCACAGGCAAGAACTTAGTTTATACCTGGGGATATGTGCTCCGAGGTTAGGAATTTAAATGGAGAAGGCTGGCAGCGTCTCCAAAGGAGGCTTCTAGAATCTTCAGTTAAACAGCCAGCTTTCCTCAGTTACAGACCACTGGAATTTTCTGAAGCAAGCTGTTCTTAAAAGACAGAAGGGGAAGTGTCATGTGGCCTAGGCAGCCTATGAACTCCACAGAAGACCTGTGTGGAGGGATTTGGCCATTGGGTGGGACGGAAGGCCATTGGTGGGGAGGAAGATGACTCGGGGAACCACAGTGCTGGCCTTCAGCAAAGAGCAGGTGTTGGCTTTGACTTGGGCAGACTGTGTCCTATGGCTTCTGCCGGATGGTTGTTCCCTGACATTCCTCGTTGCTCTAAGTGTCCCAGGACGTCCACTAGGAGGAAGAGTCTGTTATGGATTGAATTGTGTCCCCCTGAAATATGTGTGGTAATTCCTAACCCCTATAAATGTGCTTGGAGCCCTGGTGGCACAGTGGTTAAGAGCCTGGCTTCTAACCAAAACGTCGGTGGTTCAAATCCACCAGCTGCTCCTTGGAAACCCTATCGGGCAGTTCTACTCTGTCCTATGAGTTGGAATCCACTCGACGGCAACAGGTACACCTGTGGTTATCATCTCCTTTGGAAATGGGCAGTATCAGTGTAGGGTGGGTCTTACGTCAATCTCTTGTGCGATAGAACGGAGATTAAACAGGCAAGAGA